CCCCAAAACCCCAAAACCCCAAAACCCCAAAACCCCTGCCAAACAATCTACGGTTGAAAATTAATTATTACAAGTTCTTTTTGTAAAGTTGGTAAGCCTGCCTAAGGATAGCTTCTTGCTCACTATCCAGGACCTTCTTCAGAGTGATTTCTAAGTCACAGACATGATCACCTATTCGAGGGAGTCTAGCACCATACCCTTTTATCCGTATCTTGTCCCCATGATTAGTAGAGGCAGGCACCTGCACTTCTTTGACACCGAATATAGTGTTCACTTTGAGGGTAGTTCCAAGAATAGCTTCACTGATCGTTAATTGATGAGTCGTGTGGATATCTGGTCTTTTGAATGTAAAAATAGGGTGCTTCTTCACCTTTATGTGCACGTACAAGTCTGCAAAAGTGTCTGACCTTTGTTGGTAGTGCCCATACTCAGGAAAAACAATGATTTTTCTTTCATCGGCCGGTTCGAAATCTACTAAAGCTTCTAGTTTCCTCATAACCATTCCGGTATCACGACAAAGCTCACAGCCATTTCCTTGGCAAAGGAGGCAGAGTTCTTCCCTTAGAAATCTAACTATTTTGGTAAACCCGGCTACTGCTTCAATGAAGGATATCTCTAGATCAATTTTGATGTCGAATTGGATGTCTTTCATACCTCCTTTATCCTTCATAAGGTCATAGAAGGTCTGGGGGTGTTTATAGCTTTTATACCACCTCAAACCTCCAGGAGGGCGAATAATCCCTTCCTTGTATTTATTTATTCGCCACTTTTGATGATTCGAGGTCTACAAAATGACCTGTAGAATCATAAATGGACCTCTTCGCTTGATTGCTAAGGATCTCGTAAGCAGACTGAATCGCTCTGAACTTCTCAGCAGAGTCTTCGCTCCTGTTCATATCTGGATGATGCTTCTTGGCCAATGTGAAATAAGCATCTTTTATTTCAGCATATGTTGAGCTTGGCTCTACACCTAGGATCTTATACATTGCTCTTATCTCTTTTTGGCTACTGAAACTTCTGGTAAATTGGCGTCCATGCAGAGATTGACAACAGCAAGAAGTCTTCCTAAGGAAACTTGTGATTATCATTTTCAATAATTTTAGTAATTGGAGGGGTTTTGGGGTTTTGGGGTTTTGGGG